CAATTTTGTATATGCCATGGGTTTAGGTCCGGACTTACAAGTCCGGACCTGAACCTAAACCTCTGGACTTGAATCCGGACCTGAACCTAAAATTGGGGTTTAGGTATGCATCACTATGCACAATACATTACGGGTTTCATGCAGGTGTGTCTTACCCAGTGTTGTGAGGACATGCCGCAGTTCAGCACCCACTATCAGACCGTTGCCATCCTTGTCAAACACCTTCAGACCTTCCACAAAAGTCCTCGAAGGACCCCGCCTCCTTGGAGTGCTTGGCAAAGGCCTCGAGGATGGGCAGAAATTCCTCAAAAACTGATCCTGGAGTTATCTATGGAGGGGATTTATAAACAAAATTAGTCCTAGGAGAAAAAGGTTATGTTTCCTGTTTCAGTTTGAAAAATTAGGGTTGGTAGGTAGAGATTTTTTTTTTCTTTCTTTTTTTTAGACTTTGGGGATCTCTTTTGTAGTGATCCAACTTATACAATATAGTTTAACAAAGTAAAACATGCATGAGGGCACTTATAGTTTTTGATGTCAATGTTGGAAATTCAAACCATAGTCAGTAACAGTTTGCAGTAAATTGAATTCACAGCAGAGAAGTGACTACAAAAACCAGAACTGAAATACAAGTTTTGTCAATGATAATAACTACAAGATTGAAGTTCAAAACTATTCGCCAGTTGCACATTCCCAGGATCCTTTGCGCACAGGGTAGGTCACGTGGGTGTGACGACACGCACAGGGTGGGGAAAATTTTGCGGCAGTGCGATTTTACGACAGTTTAAGACAGTTTCGGTTAGCGCGCGAAACACGAATTGGTAAACAAGATGGCCTGTTATCGCAGCAAGTCGGTAAGTGCACTACTCATAGAAAATAACGTATACTATTTGATTACATCTAAAAAACCCATATGTAAATCAAACATTCTATAATACAGCTTGTTTTATTTGTGTTCAAGTGATGTTGTTGTTTTTTCGACCGTGACGCGTGAGCCGCTAGTTGCACATTCTTCGATGGCGCTAAAACAATTTAAAAAACGAGTAAAACTGTCGTAAACTGTCGTAAAATCGCACTGCCGCAAAATTTTCCCCACCCTGTGCATGTCGTCACACCCACGTGACCTACCCTGTGCGCAAAGGATCCTGGGAATGTGCAACTGGCGAATGGATTTGTCTCAATTTGAACCCTCACCTCTGAACTCCGCCGACACCTTCTTGACCTCAGCGTTGGTTGGGTTTTGACCCAGAGACCGTAGCACCTCGGCCAGCTGTCCCTTGTCAATCTTCCCGTCCCCTCTCTTGTCAAACAGGGAGAAGGCCTCCTGGAACTCTGCGCAAACAAAAACAAGAAATCAAAGATCTCACACCTCTGTGAATTATTTACAATTCTTCTTATTTGACCGCCAATTTGATCTTCCTGTCAGTCTGCAGGGACATGTCCCTTCACTTCCTGTGACTCTATACTGCAGAGTTTAAGCCAGCCTGAATTGTTTTTTTTTTACACACCAATTTTTTTACAGTCAAAGATGGCAGATTTTTGTCAAAATTTTGGGCGAAATTTTTGTCCATCACGAGCTACAAAATTCTGTCAAACGACGAAAGACGGACACTGTTTAGAACACATCTCTACTGTGTTCAAATAACTCCAGACACACCACAGCCCTTAACCTTTTAAGTGTCAAGGCTAATCTAATACATATGTTCCAGCTGGCATTCAATAGAATGCAATATTTAGTTTGACACTGCAAGAATTAAATTCTTTCTGAGGAAAAGTGTCACTGATCTTTTATTTTTAAGGGAATTTCCTCAATCATGAAAGAGCAAGGAATCCTGAAAAATTGTTCCAGCTATCTCTTCCAGATAAACTGATCATATACCCACTGAATGTATTCTCATACTAGTACATGTAATATTTTGTATATAACAGTATATTTTTAAATTCAACTCAACAAGGATAAAAAGAGAGAACCAGACACCTAACAAGAGCTGATGAGACTCTGAGTGGAATATTCAATTAAGATTTGATCCTTTTTTCATGACATGAAAAATTAATATGGTGTTCTCTATCTTGGGACAACATGTGGGGAGAGTGGGAGACATCTTCACTTCTAAGGTTACCATGAGATTTTTTACCCCTGTATCATGTGCTTGAATTACTAATGATTTTACGATGACTCAATCAAGAAAAACATTATACCCCTTGTGGGAGTTATATTGGGAGTAAATTGTAATGCATGATATGAAGCCAAGCACTCATCTGATTATACACCCTGTCCCACTACCCTTCTGATCATATTAGGCCATGGAAAAAAACTGTTGTTTCCTGTTTCAGTCCTGAAAAAATTTAGGGTTGGTAGGTAGGGATTATCTTTTTTCCTAGGCCTAATGCATTCATGGACAGTTTGATCTCATCAAAATATCCAAGATATCTTTCAAGCCCACAACCACAAAGCCTGCTGTGGCAAGAAAACTACCGTACTACAAGACAAAAGGTAAAATACTAACTTTAAATACAACTTTTCTTCTATTCCAATCTTCTTCTTTTGAGGGATTTTTGAAATTTTGCTGTGCTAACTATGAATTGTGATGCTAAATGGTACCTCTCTACAATACCAAAGGCAGGATACATGCACATTTTCATAATCAAAATCCTATGACTCATATAACGTTACATGTATTGCAAAATTTCCACATCAAGGAATTCAGAAAACAGCATGCATTCAACACTGGCGTTTGCACAAGTGTGTCTAGGACACCAATCCTTGTTTACGCTTACAATTCCTGCATGGTTATCGTATTCACTTTCCTCAGTCCCAACGTTTGCCTTCAATCAAATCCTATACAGTACAATACATTTGAAAAGAAACAACTTCAAGATTCATATACAGTATGTAGTATTTGCACATTGTATCGGTGTAAAACAGTTGGTATATACTAAAGGCACATCTAAATTCTCCATCGTTGAGGGTACACAAACTGGGGGAAGTCTTGTGTACACCCTTAAACATTCCTTAGCCATATAAGGTAAGGAGTGCAAACTGAGGTCATAGGAAACCAGTCTGCCAAATACCTGGATATTGTACAGCGTATGACGTCACCACAGGTTGTACCATTCCTACAGCCTTTTAGGGGGGTTATAATTTCATATGATGCATACACGATCCTGCATTTATGTGATATTAATTTGGAAATACAGTTCTTGCAGAAAATCTAAACTAGTGCTTGATTAAATGTTAGGATCTAAGAGTTTGAAAATGTAACGTTACGCTGTCTTGTACCAAGGCCTTGGGGCCCGCCTAAATTTTTTGGCCGGCTCACAAGATACAAACTCCCGTGTTCAAATAAGGAGAACTGTAACCGTCTACGGCACTGAAAATTTGATCTATAAACCTTTTAGTCTTTAAGTAAAGTCAATGATGTTTTATAATTTTCGGTGTATGGCTGGATCGATATAAAAGTTAGCATTCAGCTTGTACAGTTAGGTTGACAGACAGAAACGATCGTTCCAAATTTTGCCGGAAACAAAAACGGTTTCTCACCTGAAATCTGCTCCTCCGAAAAGTAAGACTGGAAAGGGAGTCAAACAAAAATGTCGTAAGTAAAAGGATAATCACAAGATGGGATTTGGATCTTCAAAAATCGATGTATTTTAAGGTGTTTTAAGGGCCTTACCATCTTGTCTGCTGCTGTCTGGGCGGTGTCAGAACGGAAGTACGTAGTAAAGGTTGACGGGATAGGAGGGGTCAAAGGGGAAGTCGAAACTCAAGTAAGAGTGACATCTAGCGATTCTCATATGAAGTACACATTATCAGGGACATAGATGATCCATGCATGTACACGAAAGAGATGGGAAGTGAATTGCTCACATTTACATTCTACACAACAAACTGGCAGCTAGAAAACAATGTATATGGTAAAATTTGCACTGTGCTTTACTGAATTGTGTGTTTGTTACTCGGGGACTAGCTAGCTTTCATGTCGCTAGCGCGCTACAAAAGATGATTGGACACCAGTTAACTATATAGCAGATAAAAGGCCTGTTTTCTTTCAAAAACGTCTTGCCGATCATATCTTTTGCCTTGCTTTCACTTCTTGCCATTTTCTTTTGCGTTTTAACTAAAACAGTCCGCATATCAAGAATACTAATAGGGAATGACCTGACAGATTAGCGTTCCATTGGCAGCCACATTGTTAGTTAGGCCGCAGAAAGTAAATTTTATGGATGACATCGTCCGCAGACTCCAAATCTAATGCGATAGCGCGAGAAAAAAACAAGGCGGGCCAAAAAAATTAATTAATTTTCAAATTTTGACTGATATGATTGCAAATTAAATCTTATTAAACCAAGAAATGATGCATACATTGTGCTAATACTGTTTACTTCAACAAAATCCATTTGTCACTGAAACAACTCTGCATTTTGAAAAATTTTTGAAAGTTTTTGTTTTTGATTCAGTGGGAACATCACATATAAGTGTAAAAGGAATAAAATCAAAATCAAATCACAGCATCAAAGTAAAAGGCAAAACATTATATCAGAGCCTTATCTCTTCTCTTCAAATTTATCTGCCATCCACGTTCCGGCATGGCAATAGACATTTTCGGCACGAACGTTGACCATTGTCAGAGGGCAAAAAAACAATTCTTGTTTTTTTTTTCCAAATGTAGGCGAAAATTTATGAGCGCGCTGATGTCATCCATAAAAATTACTTGCTGTGGCCTTAAACTTGACGAAACACGGCATTTTCCCGAATGGGGTGAAAGTCCTGTCGCTAGCCGACAGCTGATAGCACTCTGTAAACATAGAACAGCTGAAAGCGTGTCGCCTCTATGTCAACCTCAGCTACTTTGGCAGTCTTTGCTGGCGTAGTGTCATGAGAGATTTGACAGAGAACGTTTTTGATGTGTCGATGTTAGCATTGTGATCCAAGCAATATCTCCCCCTTGCCTATGCTATATTCTTCATTTCCATAATTATCTGACATTGCACGCAGAGATGGAATGTTTACATCGGTCGATCCGAAGGCAAAGTTGTGTTGATGATGTTGTGTTTTCACCGCCGCCAGACACCGCTGGCCGCCGTTTAGTTCATTCATTTGTGATAACTTAACTGGTAAAGGTAGCCAGGGTGGTTGGCGGGTGGTCAGTGAGGTCCGTTTTTTTTCTTTTCATTCAATAAAATACTGTCCCAAATATTTACTTGAGTGTCCCTGATTTTTTTTATTTGAAATCCTCTCATAAACGCAGGAAAGGCCATTTCAGAAGGTTCGAGTTTTTAAATTTTCAAAAGAAACTAGAACTAAGTTGGTAAAGGGAAGACATTGTTGCCTAATATAAGTCAGCATCGTGAACAACCATTGGGAATTATTGGAATCCAGATGCAGGAATTTTTATTCTTATGAAACGTGACGAAAAAATAGTAAAATGCTGCATCGTTAGAGGTTCAAATACATTATTTCCATATTAACGTCTTTTTTTTTTCAAATGGCGATATTTTGCTTCTGTTAACTGCAAAGTCCCGTCGCGGCTGCTTCAGACGATGTTGTTGTTAGTTGTCACGCTTTGCAGAAATTTGATCACTTCTATTCGACCCCTCTATATATGATGATCAAACATGGGCATTTTGTCATTGCAGTAGATTAATTGATATAATGACCAAATTAACTTTTGGTCATTCATTGTAGGTCAGTAGCCTTGAAGCCAATTAGATATAGGCAGCCACGTGTAGTTAGTTGATATTCAACAGTTAAAATTTTTAACCATTTATTACACATGGAATATTCTAGAGAGAAAAAAATATAAAAATGGCAATTCATGAAAAATAGGTTAGAGGCTCTTTAACATATTGCTTTGCACAAAATGTAGAATAAAACTTCACGTCACAAAATATAGCTTGCACATGTAATACAACTCTAGACAAGTCCTGTTATAATTGTCTAACTGGTGACTATATTTCACAGTCAGCTATGGCACAAATATACATTGAAGATTGAACCCAATATCAATACGTCCGCTATATTGCCTACAGGTCATGCTAGCTACTGTGGAATAAAAATATCCTTCGCCGTTGGCACCCGCGGAATTTCCCAGTCCGTTGTGTCTAAAACAAGAAGCTGCTTGGCTCAACCGTTTGGCTCCCTTACTGTAGGCCCCCGTAATAGTGGCTGTGATTGGCAGACTGCCCTGAATCAGCAGCACCCTTTACAACCATATCTGTCACGTGACCCAAGGAATGCCATGGCTTATCGATCACGTGATCCGGAAAAATTCCAAGTTCTTGATCACGTGATCATCACGTGACGTAGGGTATAAAAAGTGGCGGGGTGTCACCCGAACTTTCACAGCCCACTCTCTCCTGGCGTTGGACACTAAGCTGCTGGAGGCGAAGACTCACATAGGACATCGCCATGGTATGTGACACACAACTTACCTCAGGCATCAGCCCACACTTTCTTTGTTGATGTAGCCTTGTGGACCGTTAAGTATTGGACACGCTCAAAGTGCTAGCTCGAAAACAGGGGGAGCTTAGGGCTAAGCGAATGGAACTCGAAACGCTTTTAAGCTGACAGATAGAACTTTGCAGCTGGTACCGCTCTTTTTCCATGTTTGAACAGATAAAGTTTTACTTCGTATCTAATCTCCCATGACAAACTGTGTATATTGAACACACCAAACAGTCGTGCCTGCAGCTAGTTCGTTGCATGATTCTACTGTTTTTGTTACGTTAAGCGAAGCTGCGACGCTGCGCAGGAAATTGTCAAAGTATGAACCTGACAGGACGGCAACACCCCCTAACCTAACCTGTAACTTAACACATTGGTATGTGAGATATACATTTAATTACTACATGCCGCCTTATAATTCTAATAGCATCTCTTAATAAAGATAAAGATTAATGATAACTTCCTGATCTTCTAATACATATATTTCTTTTTTCTTCTTCACCTTCCCAGCGGAAATCGAGCAGTCTATGATTGATGGTG